TTCCATCATACCAGCATCTTATGCAGGGTGAGCTTGATGATTTTGCGGTACTGCAGGAAAGAACAGAGCCTGTGGTTTTAGGTTCAGAATTCAGCTTCAGGAATTTTAGCGTGTTTGAAAAGAGAATTCAGGTATCCCCCGTAGCTCTGTGGCTTGTAAACTAGCACAAAGAGCAGTTTTTTTAAAATGCAAAATTCGTTATTCTAATGGGAAAGATTGTAGACATCTGCATGCATAGTCTGCAGAATTAGTCTTCCCTTTAGGATGAATTATACAGAGTTCGGCACACAGGGACTTCTCAGAAGTGAGGGTAGCTTCCCGTGCCAGGACTGACACACAGCTAGATTTGTCCTGTAGCACCTTAGAGACCAAAGATTTTCAGAGTATAAGCTTTTGACAGTTAGAGCTCCCTTTGTTCTGATGAAGGGAGCTTGAACTCTTGAAAGCTCATACCATGAAAATCTTGTTGGTTTCTTAGATGCCACCGGACTAAAATCTAGCTGTTCTACTACAGTCCAGCATGGCACCCCTCTGGAGCAGTTACTGGGAATGCTAAGCCTGATATGTGCATTACTGCTCCTGTGCAGTAATAGCCAGAATTTCTTTCCTGGCATGGAAGAACCTGTTGATATCACCTGTGATCCCAAGCAAGTTTTTTTAATTAGAGCAAGCAAGAGGATAGTGTGATTTAAATCTAAGCTTTAGAGAAAACATACGTCTGATTGTAAGCTAAAATGAAGCGGGTGTAAGGGGGAGTTAATTTATGAGTAACACTGGATCCCAAATCCCGTGACCCATTTGCATCATACGGTTCACACAGAACTTTCTCGTAAGCTCTCTAGTCCATTGTGTTTGTTCAGTTCAGAAAAAGGGAAGTCCAGCTCCACTTTTCTCAGACAATGCAGATCTTCTTCCTCCCCCAAAATAGACAAGGAAGCCAGTTACGGGCAGGGGATTCTCAAGTGGCACACTGGAACTCCCGCATAGGCAAGGCCTGCTGTGCATGATCTTTGTGGTTCACTGAAAAATTGTGACGCAAGAATGACTGCTACCTTCCACAAATGCTGGAGAAGCTCTTCCATTAATCCACTGGGCATCAGTTGCATAAATCTGATTTTTAAAAAAAAATCTTTTTTTTAACATTTTCTGCCCTAACCTTCAGATTTCATTGATGATTTGCCTATTAATTTGCCTTGAGATGTTTCCTTTTCTTTTGCTTTCTTTTATTTAACATTGTTCATGTCTCACCCTGTTTTTCCCCCCTCCCTTCCCCTCATGTCTGCAATCAACTTCTTCATCCAATAAGGCCGGGCACAGAGTAAGTTTGTTCATCTTGGCCTCACGCTCACATGGGTGGTGGCAACTCTCTCAGTGGCGGTTAAAATGTTAAATCGCTATGGACTGAAGAACAAAGGCTTGCCATCTCCAAATACCTCTGTGTAGATTCTCATATTATTCATATTTGTGATTATTTTGCTTTAAAAGTGTGGTTGGTAAACTGAGTTCAGGAACTTTGGAGCTCCTCGTGTACATATCACTGGTTTCTCAATCAGCGACGTAACAACGGTAGACACACCTCCTTGGAAGACAGCTTGTCTACCCCGTTGGCCATGCCTTGAGGCACAGCTACAGGATATTCTCCAGGGCCCCTGTAGTGTGACAGTGAGGCTCAACAGGCCCAGCTAGGACTCTCCCTCAATGGTGTGTGTGAACACACACTTGAGCAGCTTCCCAGAATCCTGTACAACTTGCTGGAGCTTCTTAGGAAATAGGTTGTGGCAGAAGAGATGAGCTGCAGCTGGAGGGTCTGAAAATCCCTGAACCGAGCCCTGTGTGACGGAGGGACAAGACTTGAATCCTCCTGCTCCTCTAAGTGCCTGCAAAAGGCTGCTGCCAGATCTGCACAGCTGTAATGGCACTGTGACTGTGGCAGTCTGAAAGGGAGCAGGCTTGGAAGCCCTTGCAGTTGTACTCACATTGGGGGAGGGCCATGTCTCAGTAGCAGAGCATCTGCTTGGTATGTAGGAGGTCCTAGGTTCAATCCCTGGCTTCTCCAGTTAAAGGGCTCAGGTAGTTTGAAAGTCCTCTGTCTACACATCTGGAAAGCTGCTGGCAGTCTGAGTAGAAAATACTGAGCTTGCTGGACCAAGAGTCTGATTCAATATAAGGCAGCTTTGTGTGTGTGTGTGTGTCCTTTTATTGCCAAGGGGAGGGTAGTAAAGCCCTCGCTGTGGTTCCTGCCCTTGTGTTGTCTGTGAGTTTCTATGGGTGACGCATGCAAAGTCTCGCATGGTATAACTGCACCAGAGCAAAAACCCGGGCCCATAGACTTTCTACTGTAAAGGCATCCAGTTATTGTTGACTTCTGCGTGGTGATATGCTGAGAAAACAGCAAGGGGAAGGATGATTCCATTATCTTCCTCTTAGAAATGATAGCTCAAGGTCACGGCTCAGTGCCAGAACATCAGCTTGGTATGGAGAAGGTCCCCAGGTTCAGTCCCTGTCTCCACCTGTTTAAAGGATCAGGCAGCAGGTGATGTGAAGGACCCGAATCTGAGTCCAAGTCGACCAGAATGACTTCAGTGAGCCAACGGGGCTGACTCCCAACTACGGTAGCTTTGTGTGTTCAGGAATTGTTTAGATGAGTCCTCAGCATCACCAACTTGTTACAAGACACAACAGACAGCATCACCGTGTCCTGCCTAATGCTGTGGACAGGGTCAGGACACAAAGCTAAAGAATCAAGACACTGACGTGCCACTGGCTGGTACTGAAGAACTGGAGAGAAACATTTTAAAAAACAACTCCCCTGCAGCTTACTGAGGCTGCCTTGCGTGTAGGCATGAGACCTTTCAGCCCTGTGCTTGTAAATGGTGAAACTATGGAAAAGGGTATTGGAGCGCTGAAGGTTGGTATATTGAGCACGGAGAGTCTGAAGTGTTATCTTCTTTCCTTCCTAAGTTGGTGCTAGTGCTGGGAGACCTTCACATCCCTCACAGATGCAACAGCCTGCCAGCGAAGTTCAAGAAACTGCTTGTTCCAGGGAAGATCCAACACATCCTCTGCACTGGAAACCTTTGCACAAAGGAAAGCTACGACTACCTCAAGACCCTGGCTGGTGACGTCCATGTAGTTAGAGGGGACTTCGATGAGGTACTGTCATCTCTTGGGATTCTGGGTGGGAGAGGAGACACTGACTTGTCGCGCTCTTTCAGCTGCCCATGTGGCTGGGTTCTCTTTTGGGGTGGACAGGGGTTTCCTTCCGTTTGGGATAAGACGGTAGGACTGATCTTTCTCCACCTATAGTACCGTCGTGGTCAGCAGGGAGAGAAGGTAGCTTTTTGTTACAGCGTGGAAGAATGTGGCAGAGAACTGTACCTGTGTCAATTAACGTGTCTTTTGATTCTAGAATCTGAATTACCCTGAACAGAAGGTTGTAACTGTTGGGCAGTTCAAGATTGGGCTGATCCACGGCCACCAAGTCATTCCGTGGGGCGACGTGGCCAGCCTGGCGTTACTGCAAAGGCAGTTTGATGTGGACATCCTCATTTCAGGACACACACACAAATTTGAGGCATTTGAACATGAAAACAAGTTCTATATCAACCCTGGATCAGCAACAGGCGCCTACAGTGCTTTGGAGAAGTGAGTCCAACCCAATAAAATAAGCTATGGGGGAGGGGGGTGTTTGCCATAGTATGATCATCACTACAGTTTATATAGGCCAAAGTACTCATACTTGCTTATTGTGGTCAAGATGGGTAGCTGTGTTAGTCCGTAGCAGTAGGAAAGGGATTGCTGAAATGGCTTGCATCCAATGCTTGTTCTGGGTTACAAGGCTTTGCCGTTGTCACTGGGCAGCTGATCAGGGTCCAGTGAACATGTTATCTGTAGTCCCTAGTTCTAGAGCTTGTCTTCCATCCGGGAATATTTGCATAAGGCACTGCATGCAGTTAAGCTGAGCTGTTACGGCAAAGGCCGCTTTTAGAAAATTTGAAGTTTAGACAAAATGTTTTCAAATAACTTCCCTTCAGCAGGAGTGTTAAGTAGGCGAGGGCAGTAGTATCAGGCAGTTCAGAGGGGTTTGAGGTAAGCGGCAGGCTTATTTTAGAAACGTCCATGAATGTATTCCTGGAATATTTTTTATCAGCAAAAGTAATAAATGGTGCTATTCTCCTACTAGCACCTGGTATGTTCTCGCTATTAGGGATGGGCATGAACCTCGTCACGAACTTAATTTTTGTGATGGACATAGCTGGTTCGTGCCCATCCCTATCCACAACCCTCCACATGGTTTTCGGAGGGTTCTGGAGTTTGTGGTGGGAAGCAAGGGGGTGGGGGAGCGAAAAGAATGGCTGAAATGGTTTGCGTCCATTTCAGCTTAACAGTGGGGCTGGTGCACCCTCAGGCCGAAATAGATGCAAGCCATTTCAGTGATCCCTTTCACTCTCCCCCTGCTTTCAAGCGTTCCCTTTAAACGGCTTCTGCAAGCCACGCACGAGTGTAGGTGAAGTGGTGAGTTCACCCAGAAGTGGTGAGTTCACCCAGAAGTGGTGAGCTCACTGTTTGGACTTCACTTGCACATGGCGCTGCTTGCAAAAGCCATTTAAAGGGAATGTGTCCCCCCCCCCATTCTGCTGGTCTCGGGGAGCCGCCCCCAGCAGAAAGGAGGGAGGGAAGACCCACACACACACCGCATCCTGAACCTCATGAAATGAACCAGTTTCTTAAATGGGGAGGTTCGTGAAGGTTCGTGTGAACCCACAAACTGGGAGGAACCTCCATTTTCCCTGTTCGTGCCCATCCCTAGTTGTTGCTACTAGAGAATGTGTCTAATGGACTCATGCTCTAATAATCCTACAGATCGATCCTATGCCTTTTTACTGCAAAGCAAGCTCCAGTATGTTCAATCCTGCATCCACCGGAGTGTAGTTTTAAGTGTCTTACTCTTAGGATGCTATCAGAAAAAAAAAATGACTACCTTTTCCTTTATCCTCCAGCAACATCATTCCTTCCTTTGTGCTGATGGATATCCAGGCCTCCACAGTCGTTACTTACGTTTATCAGCTGATTGGCGACGATGTGAAAGTAGAAAGAATTGAGTACAAGAAATCTTAAAGCCAGCTACTCTTTGCTAGTTTATGTTTCAGTCTCCTTTTTCCTCTTGCAATATGCACTCAAAAGGTCTACAGTGTTTGCAGTATTGTTTTAGCATATGAAGCTAACCTTTCACTTGTTGTAGGCAGGTCAACAAGTACTTGGCATCTTAAAGTCTGTCTTGGCTTTCTTTGTTTTGACCGTAAGAAAAGGCTCAAGCTTGTAAATACTGTTTAAAATGCTTGGTAGAATTTCTTCTGCTTGCGTGAACTCTTCCCGATCTTGTAATAAATATTTGTTTAATTTGGCCAAGCTTTCATTATGATGTGAGCATATATGTTAAAAGTACACGCATAGAATGCTTTCTTACTTTTTTTACTTTATATATTTAATTGTACAAGAGTGAAAAAAAACCCAAAAACCATTTTGACCTGGCTGTACATCTTAATCCTTCCACAGGAACATCTGAAAGGGAAAAAAAGATTCAGTCTACCAGTTTTCTGTAAAAGTAACTGATGTATATGAAGTAGTCACTATACAGTACTGAAAAAGAATTGTATTTCAGGACTGATTTACTGGCAACACATTCACAATATAGCATAGGAAATCTAAAGGAAGATGTCCCCGTTACTTTCCAATGGGGCTTTCAAACGTATGTGGCATATTGATTAAAAAAAAGTTTACTACCTTTACAACATCCAATGATGACTGGTCTGATACAGGATTTCCGGATTCCTTAAGATATTCCTTTATTAGGACTGCTGCATCATCCATCCTGTGCAATTAAACACACAGACTGAAGACATCTTAACCTTGCACTGACTTTACCATATACCCACTTACCTAGATACCCAGTACTAAGCTGTGGAGTCTTGTGAGCAACGATTCTACTTCGTGAGCTACTGGCATTAAAGTTGTGAGCGAGCGATTTGGCTCCTGCATAAATGAGTTTGCTCTGGAGCCATCCATCCTGAGCTAAGACAAAAATGTTGAGCTAGCTCACACTAACTCAGCTTAGAGGGAACACTGCCCGGTACCTGTACCTTTGGGGTGGGGGACAGGAGGGGCCATGCTGTGCCTCTTCCAGGAGCACATTTGTTATTTTTGCCACAACTCAGTTCAGTTAAGAAGAAGAGGTTGGATTTATACACCCCCCCCTTCACTTGGAGTCTCAGAGCGGCTTACAATCTTCTTTCCCTTCCCCTCCCCACAACAGACATCCTGTGAGGTAGGTGGGGCTGAGAGAGCGCTGACAGAAGCTGCTCCTTTTCAAGAACAGCTCTTATCAGAACTACGGCTTGCCCAAGGTCATCCAGCAGCTGTGAGTGGAGGAGTGGGGAATCGGACCCGGTTCTCCCAGTTGAGAGTCCACACGCTTAACCACTACACCAAACTGGCTCTCACTTACATGAAAGATTCCGTGGGACTTGTTCCCTATTAAACTTCTAGATCGGCAGCTTTAAGCCCATTGATCTACACACTTTACTCGACGGTAGCAGTTGCTTTTCAGAGCAAGTCAGAGTTGGACTAAAATTAAGGCTTCTTAGGCTTGAGGAAGTGCTCCTCTCATGCGGGCTTGCTTGCCCTCTGAGGCAGCTTAGAAGTGCAAACATTAATGGCTTGGCCTGTTGATCACGGCTTCCTACAGGCCCTGCTTAATGAGGGGAAGCCACCTGTGTTTTCCCTTCTAGTGGCCAGTTTACTTCACTGTTACTCATTCAAATAGAGCTCCTTGGGTGGCCAGCAATGCGCCCTCTAAGCTGTGGAGTCTCGTGAGCAAAAACTCTACCTTGTGAGCGACTGGCATTAAAGCTGTGAGCGAGCAACTTGGCTGCTGCATCAAATTAGTTTGCTCTGGAGCCCTCCTCCCTGAGCTGAGACAAAAATCTGTGAGCTGGAGGCTAAAGAACTGTGAGCTGGCTCACACTAACTCAGCTTAGAGGGGAAAACAAGGTTGCACTTACCTGTAACTGTTGTTCATCGAGTGGTCTTCTGTGCAGGCACACATGGGATCTGCGCAGGCTGGCCTGCGCCGATCCCATGTGGGACTGCACAGAAGCCACGATGATGAACACTGGTTGCCGGGTCCCCCCTGGCCACCAGCGGGGGATGTGGGGTAGTGTTGCTAGATCCAGGTTGGGGAAATGGGAGATTTGAGGATGGAGCCTGGGGAAGCAAAGTACCCCAGTGCGGTAACAATGCCACGGAGACCACCCTCCAAAGCATCTGCTTGTCTCCAGGGGAACCGATCTCTCTAGACTGGAGGTGAGCTGTAATTCTGGGGGATCCCCAGGTCCCACCTGGAGGCCGGCCTCCCTAAACAGAGCTCATGTACAAACATACCGGAATTACGATTATCCAGCGAGTTCTGGTGGTTTCATTTGGTCTGCGAGGGCTGCTGAGCCGTGGGGTGTTACAGGCATCCGCTAAAGCAGCTCTCAGTTTTGACTGTTCAACCAAGCCCTGGCCTGGGTGGCCCGGGCGCGCCCAGTCTCATCAGATCCCAGAAGCTAAGCAGGGTTAGTCCAGGTGAGTGCTTGGATGGGGGAATCACCAAGGGAGTCCACCAGGGCTGCTTGGCAGAGGCAGGCGGTGGCAAATAATCTCCGATTGTCTCTGGCCTTGAAAACCCGACCAGGTCTCGAGCTGAGGGCAACTTGACGCCGCTTCCCACCCCCCGTCCAAGCAAGCCCGTGACAACTTCGGTCATGCGGCAGTGGAGAGAACACCTGTCTCCCTCCATCCTTCCACAGGAAATAAATAGAGAAAAGCAAGCTCTGGGAACTCTGCATTAACCTACCTGTTCTCATCGGCCAGGTATTTTACCAGCCCTTTCAGTCTGTCAGCCCCCATCTCTTGTAGCTTCAGGTAAGGAAGGTACTCTGTGCCCACAAAGCATTTGCCTTTCATCGCGGACTCTAGAACCAAATATCTGATCTGCAAAAGGGCAGAATTATTATTCTGGTTGTGCCCGCTATAGACACTGGCAGAGCTGGGAGGGAGGGGATATGCAAAGCGACGTACCTCAGGAGCAAAGCAAGCTAGTCCGCGGTGGCCCGTGTGCTCCTTGATTTGGTGCAGGATCTTCTCCGGCTGGTGAGAGGCCAAAAAGCCCTGCTCAAAACCGGAAAAGAAGCGCAGGAAGAATCAGTTTTGTGTAGGCTTTCAAATCATTAGAGGAAAGGCTGAAGCTTTCTTGGAGACGACAGCCACGAGCCTGTGTCACTAAATCTCACATTTCAAACATTTAAGCCACATTAATCCACTAAGAAAAAAGTTCAGGGCAGCTTAGACCAAAGTTACTGTGGTGTAGGTTTCGGTGGGCTACAGTCCCCTTGACCACATCTGTGGTCTTCTGAAATATATATATTTACATGGCAGTGGGGGCAGCTGGTCAAGGAAATGCACGAGCAAGGAGGGATGTCATTTCTACAGAAATTACCCATTATTTAAAATGTCTCATTTGGGCAGATGTGACCCATTCCCAGCCAAAGGGCAATGAGTGATGAGACAGCATTGCAATAAAATAGTCAGTATATCAAGCAGTTTGAATGAGAAGACCATCACAGTTCCAAGTGAGCAAACAGCATCAAATGTGCACTAATGCATTCTAGCTTCATGGCTTCACCAGCTGGTTAAAGAAGGTATCAGCTGCTGAATAACGAGGGATGGGGGACAGGAACCATTGCACTCACTTCAATCTGTTGATCTCTCTTCTCCGGCTGAGGGATCAGCCAGAGACACCCCAAAGACAGAGCCAGCAGCTGTGACGCCATGAACTTTTTTGCAATCGCAATTACATCTAGATGACCCACGACAGGACACCTGGGAGGCATTTATTGATGGAAGGGGGGGGGGGAGAGAAATCAGAATTAGCCCTGCTTCTATATGCCAACAGCCCTGCTTCTATATGCCCTGTTCAAGTTTTCCTTCACACAGGAGGTATTCTTTACTTCGGTCGGGGTCACAACACCGCCTAGTGACCCCGGGCCCTAAGGAGGCCAGGCTTGTTGCCACAAAGGCCAGGTTCTTTTCGGTGGTGGCTTCTATCTGGTGGAATGAGCTCCCGGAGGAGAATCAGGGCCCTGCAGGACCTATTACAGTTCCGCAGGGTCTGTAAGACGGAGCTCTTCCACTAGGCTTCCGAATAGGAGCCGCCGCCGCCGCCACTACCACCAACGGGCGATTGCAGAGCAGTACCGCCAGGTTGGCCTGACTGGCCACCGAACATCGTGGCCCACGGCACCCCTCTCATCGACCCCAATGTGATGTACAATAGGGAGTGAGCATACTAGCCTCGATGGATCCTGGGAGTTTGTCCACAGTGTTAAACTGTTTTAACTGTATTTTTATTGCACTGTGTGCCTTAATTGTTTTAAATTGTGGTGTTGTAATACACCTCTGTGTTTTGTAAGCCGCCCTGAGCCCGCGTGCGGGGAGGGCAAGGTATAAATGAAATAAAATAAATAAAAATAAAATAAATACTTACTGTAGTAGAGCTTCAAAAGATGCACAACATGCCTCCCGTTCACTAGGACTCGGTGGACATGAAACTTTAAAACAAAAGCACGGAAGACTCACAGGTCAAAGATTTCTTCACAAGCTGCATTCCATAGGTCAAATCTCTTGCAGTACTGCAGCGTTTCTGTAGCTCTGGCTATATAGTAAAGGTAAAGGTCTCCCTTGCTTGAAAGCCAGTCGAATCCGACTCTAGGGTTGTGGTGCTCATCTCCGTGTCAAAGCCGAAGAGCCAGCGCTGTCCAAAGACGTTTCCGTGGTCATGTGGTCGGCATGACTAGACGCCAAGGCGCATGGAACGCTGTTCCCTTCCCACCAAAGTGGTACCCATTTATCTACTTGCAATTTCTTGCTTTCGAACTGCTAGGTTGGCAGGAGCTGGAACTAGAGACGAGAGCTCACTCCATCATGCGGCACACTCGGGTCTCGAACTGCTGAACTACTGACCTTCCACAGCCTGCAGTTCAGCGTCTTAACCACTTGAGCCACCGCAGCTCCTATATAGCTAGCTATATAGCGCACCTCTAAATTCGTCCCGTTTCCCATGGAATGTGCACACACAAACCTACTTATAACGTATAACAGTATCGTACAATGACTTTAAAAAACAGAGTAAAATTAAACAAAAAACAAACCTGAATGAAATGGTGCGAGAATGACGTTCTGCCAAGCTCGGCTGAAGTTTGGAATCTGAAAAAAATTAAACGCTTCTTAAAATTGCTGGAGTTTTAAAGGTACTGCTTGTGGCGTTTGAACCCTGCCGAGGCTTTTCCGTTGGCAGATCCATTCGTCAAGTTAAAAGTCTGGTTGTTGCACATGAACAGAGGAGGCTGCCTCATACTGGGTCAGAGACACAGTCAGAAGAAGGACTTTCCCAACATGTGCTGTTCGAGACCCTTTAACAAGAGATGCCAGTATGGAACCTTCCACATGCAAAGTTTTTGGTTCCATACGGGAGGACAGAGAGGTAAAAGTCATGTAAGTATAAACAAACATTGGGCCACAAACTCTGCAATCTCATAGCATCCTGCGCGACTCCGTTGACCGTGGTGTTCAGGATCGTGCATTTGGACTGCAGCACCTGTGCCGAACCACCACCTGAGCTCGCAGCCACTTTGCCGTGGCTATAATAAACCAAGGCACTAAGGTTCATGGCAGGGCTCGCTTCACCCCACCCTCATATCATCTAATGAAGTTTCTATCCCTAGCAGCCTTACTGTTCACTACTGCCTCTGAAGAAGTGTTCGTGCACATGAAAGCGGATACCTAGAATTACATTTTCTTGATCCTAAAGGTGCCCACTGGACTGAAACTTTGTTCTATTCACTGTGGAGCTCGGCTGGCTCCCAAAGTAGTTCACAGTTCCAACCCGTCACGTCATTCAAATAAGCAATGACGACTTATTTGCAGCTTCCGGTGCTTGCAGGGCTCCGAGTCTTGGAATACCAGAGTGGTGTTGTTTTAGGGAACGTGAGAGCCTTTTCTCTCTGCTGAAGAGAGGGGGCACTTCTGCCATTGATGCACTGGAGGAGAGGAGCACAGAGCCGGAGGATGTTGCAGATGCAAGAGGGTTCAGTTCTAATCCTCTCCCCACCCTTCTGCTAACAGGCATCCTGCTGCTGCTCTTTACCAGCTTCCCTAGAGGTGGATTGTCACGAGTGGGCCTGGGCTTCCTTAATTCAGGCCAAGCTAACGACTGGTGGCTGCGGACTCTAATTTGGGAGAACCGGGTTTGATTCCCCACTCCTCCACATGCAGCTGTTGGTGCGACCTTGGGTCAGTCACAAGTTCTTTCAGAGCTGTTCTCTCAAGGACAGTTCTCGAGAGAGCTCTCTCAGCCCCAGCTACAACACAAGGTGTCTGTTGTGGGGAGGGGAAGGGAAAGGAGATTGTAAGCCGCTTTGAGACTCCTTTGGGTAGCAAAGGGTGGGTATAAATCCAATCTCTTCTCCTCTTCTTCCTGCCTTCAGTCACTCTCTTTCCTAACAGCAGCATGGTGGCTTGGAGGGGAGATTGGAGTGGACTTTGTGAGCTGGTGGCTGTAACTACTCTTTCTTGTCTCTCTTTGATGGTAAATCAGACTGAGTGAGTGAATGAGGATGGAGATCTTCTGGCGAACAGAGAACTGCCTTTTGTAACATTTTGTGGTATTTCCATGGAAAGACCTGGATTTCGTTCCGGCAACACTTCGGCAGCTCATGAGACTGCAGCTAAAGGGAACGGCTGCAATTGGGCTACTAGACTTAAAAATTAGTATCTGTAGTGCATTTGGGTGGGGAGCATTGATGGCGAAGATGTATGTTTTACTCTACTAGAGTAACAGCCTCATCTGTTCATGTGAAACGGCTTACCAAAAAGAAGCTAGCACAACATTTAGCGCTTTTCAAGAAGTACAAGTTTGGTTCTGGGGAAGAAAACATCACGCACCTGAAATAACGAAGGGATCCCCGTAATCGCTATCAACACTTTCCTCAAATAATCAATCTGGAAAAAAATATATTGTTTTGTAACAAAATATGTTACAGGCATGCAATTCCAACTATTATTTTAGTAAATTCTTGGGAGTGGGCACTGAGTGGAGCTTGAGAGGCTCATTTAGGAAAGAGCTGGCAGAGTCACACCCCTCCTCCCAAGCGGTGACTAGAAAACCCTTCTTGCAAGCAGGCCAGTTGCTTTGGCGGGGAGGGGGGCATGAGAGAGGGGGGAAAGACAAAGAGCATCGCAAGCAAAATATGAGTCTCCAGCAGTGTTCCCTCTAAGCTGAGTTAGGGTGAGCCAGCTCATAGTTTTTTAGCCTCCGGCCCACATTTTTTCGCCTTCGCTCAGGAAGGGATGGCTCCAGAGCAAACTAATTTGCACAGTAGCCAAATTGCTTGCTCACAACTTTACTGCTGGTAGCTCACAAAGCAGAATTTTTGCTCATAAGACTCCACAGCTTAGAGGGAACATTGGTCTCCAGTTGTTAAGAGCAGGCATCGTTTTTAAACGAGGATGTTGTCAGAATCGGACCCTTGTCTGGTTATTGGGTCATGTCATATACGGTTGAGGCTCTCTGCTGTACATAGCTTTGCTTTGCTAAATGTTATTACTGCTGGATCAGCTATTCTCTCCCCGCATGTAGTTCCTAAGTGTCATGTAGCACCTGCTGGCATTGCATCAATCTATTCACAAGGATCCTCCTCTGACATTCCTAAGGGAGGAGTGATTGAGACATGTCTGTGTGAACTGTTAGATTAGCTGCGCTTTGTAACCCTGTGAAAGGAAGCCTCCTCCGTAAAGGCTGGAGAGAACCTCGCTGTTTCTAATTCTCATGGCCTTCGGGAGAGTATCAAATGATAAACATTCTCACCATTTCAACTGTACTATATTAACCTGTCTAAATGCTATGTAATCATGACGTATGAATGAGGGCTGGACCAAAGGTCTCGTAGTTTCCTACTTTGTAATACCTTTCAGTTCTGTCAAAGGAGTTCAACTTTAATGCAACTTTCCTGACTTTCCAAATAAAGCCTGTTAAAGGACTTATTGCGTCTGAGAGCTACTGTACGAGCTGACAGGTGTGTTTTTTTTAATAGACCAGGCATTTTTTAAAAATAAAGCAGTTCTACTGGCCCATGTGAAAGTTAGCAGATCTTTAATCAGGGACAGATGCCAATCCCATGATAATTATAAACCTTCTAAGATCTGTGTAGTACTCCATATATAATATTATATACATTTTGACAAGAGATGGTACTATTCTCTCATTAGATGATGCTAGGACTTGAGGTTTTTCCCCTTTCGATTGGTCTGCTGGACGAAATCTACACCCCTGTCATTCAGAAGCACAATGCAAAGCCCCAGCCCAGCCAGAGAAAAGACTCACCATGTTGAAATCGAGCAGCTTTTGCAGCAGACCGTTCCACAGCTGAGCGTCCCACACCTGATATTCCAAACTCAGCTCAGTCACTAGTTTCACTGCCTAGAAACAAAGATGAAACAATGAACATCTTATTAGCACCACGTCTGCCACTTTGAATCTGGCCTGGATCTTTGGAGGCTCTCACACACGTGGCCACATCCCTACCACCCATCTGCAGTTGTTCCACCCATGGCAGAAACATGCCATTTCCAGGGGCCACAGACTGCAGCTGTGCTTGGACCAGGGCGCCGCAAGCAGCGGTTCATGCACACTTATTTGTTGACCATCTCCAGCGCCATTACCCTGGGGTCATGACTATGGTTTTTCCACAATCCTTTGACCACGCCTTCCTTGGGAGCCTTGTGGAATGATTCGTAGGTGTATGGAATGTTGAGGATTTCAAATTCAGAAAGGTAAATTAAGGTTTTCAGGAAAATCCTGTTTAAAAGGGAAAAAAGGGGGGAGGAAGGAATTTGTGGTTACTACAGCATTGGAACAAGAAATCCCATGATTCAGGACAGACGAAAGGAAATACTTCTTTACACAGAGAATGAATAAAATGTGGAATTCACTGGCAGGGGATGTAGTGATGGCCACAGGAATAAAAAAAGCTTTAAAAGGGGATTAGATAGATTCATGGAGGATAAGGTCTATCAGTGGCTACTAGCTGTGGCGACTGAGGGGAACCTCCACATTCAGAGGCACTAAGCCTCTGAATCCCAGGGCTAGGAGGCAACATCAGGAGAAGGCCTCGGCCTCTCTGTCCTGTTGTTGGCCCTCTAGAGGAACTGGCTGGCCACTGTGTGAGACCAGATTCTGGACTAGATGGACAACTGGTCTGCTCCAGCAGGGCTTTCCTGATGTTCTTACGTTCTTAACTGAAGTTAATTTACTGCAAATGGTCTAGATCTGCGTGCTGCCAAGAGAACCACTACATTTCTCCCAGGGGACAAAAACAAATAATCCAGAAATCCCTCATGCTACAAGCAGACTAAATTATTCTCAGTGATCTCAAGAGAGCAGAATAGCAAAAACCTAGCAGCACTCTCATAGTGCAGATAATACGCCTACGTGAATGGTGGATGCAGCCTTTAGGTGGTGAGATCAACCACAGCTTCAGTTTATTAAATGAGCGGAAGACCAATTTCAGTCAGCAAGGCCAAACTATATTGTGGGGGGTTCAAATGCCACAATAAGCAGAACTGTTCATCATTACTACCCTGACCCAGGCAGGAGCTAGAGGAGTGAAGCAAATCTCTGCACAGGTGATGTCCAACTGGATGAGGAATTGAGAGCACAAATGAGTCCTGCTAGCTAGCACAATCTCACCCTCCCGCAATAGAGCACTTGGAGTAGGGGGAACTCCAGACTCACCCCCCCCCCCAAATCCGTGGCACTCTCTAGAATCAAACTCAGCACCTACCAGGCCTACTGGGGCCACAAATGTACTGGTCCTTTAAGAGTCAGCCAGCCAAGGACAGGCAGCCACCTGACAATCAGCTGTCCAGCAGCTCCAGCCTCCAATGGGAAAAGGGGCGCTTGCTCCAAAGACCACTATTGGTCCCTTGTGGGTTGAGCCACGCCCCCAGAGGGCTTCTGGGCAGGGGGAAATCACTAGGCACACCCCAGGTATGGCTACAGCCTTCAAAAGGTTCGAGGAAGCCGAAAAGGACACAGCAGCTCTAGCTCCCGGCTCAGAAGGAGAGGAAGAGGGATAGGGCGCTGCTTAACCCCCACTCCTCCATCTGAGGAGGCTTTGTACAAGTTGGACCCTGGTTCATGACCAGTGTTCCCTATAAGCTGAGTCAGTGTGAGCTAGCTCACAGTTTTTTAGCCTCCAGCTCACACATTTTTATCTTCGCTCGGGAAGAATGCTAATTTACGCAGGAGCCAAATTGCTCGCTCACAACTTACATGCCAGTAGCTCACAAAGTAGAATTTTTGCTCACAAGACTCCACAGCTTAGAGGGAGAATTGTTCATGACCTCCATGGTGCAGGATTTGAGAGACACTTAAAATCTCAGCTGAGGAGCTGTTTGGGAGGGAGAGCTGGATCTTAGCCTCTTGGGCTCCTTGTTGCTCCACCTGCACAGTGCCGGACTGGAACCATTACATTCTGTTATGTTCAGCCAAGCTTTGTCATTACTGGATATTTTCTGCATTGTCTACACTGAGAGGAGGATACAAGGCCCAACTTACCTTACTGCCTCAATGGGCTTTTTGAAGAGCAATTCGACCGTAGAACTGTCAGCCAAGTAGATCAGGCACTTGAGGGCTATGCTTCTGTGAGCAAACGTCAGCTGGTGTACCCCAATAGGCTGAGAGGGGAAACAGGGTGGTGGTGGGAATGAGAGACATCTTCACGCCTAGCCACTCACAAAGCACACTGTTGTTAACTTGGGTTGTTCAGATTGATGTAAAGTTGAAAAACAGGTGCTGTCCTGGACACTTGGTAAAATGCTCCAAGAATCAGGATGAAGAAGGAGGAGGAGATTGGATTTATACCCCGGCCCTTCACTACGCAAAGGAGTCTCAGAGCAGTTTACAATCTCCTTTCTCTTCCCCTTCCCACAACAGACACCCTGTGAGGTAGGTGGGGCTGAGAGAGCTCTCTCGAGAACTGCCTTTGAGAGAACAGCTCTGAAAGAACTTATGACTGACCCAAGGTCACATGGGTTAAGCTGACACTAAATATTATAAACATACAAAATGTATTCAGGTGTACACATTTTTTTAAAAAACCTAGACTCATTAAAAATATTCACATTCAGACATGAAAAATTTTTCAACATACATACATAGATGGGTTAGTGCTGTGCAACTGAACCAAACGCGTTTCGGCCCCAAAGGGCCTTCCTCAGTGGTCACAATCCAAAATACAAACTTGACATACATTCAAAAAAAGTTTTTTAACATCAGATGTTAAGTACATATGCAATATAAGGCCAGATGTTGTATCCTTGTATATTTATATGTATATTATTGTTGTATATGATAGGCCTCAGGTATAGCCAATTAAAGTCCACCAATACTTCTGGTAGCATAGATTTGCGTGAGTAGAATGTATGTCACTCCATCCTGTACAGAATACAACAATTGGATTGTGACCACTGAGGAAGGCCCTTTGGGGCCGGAACACGTTTGGTTCAGTTGCACAGCACTAACCCATCTATGTATGTTGAAAAAAATTTCATGTCTGAATGTGAATATTTTTAATGAGTCTAGGTTTTTTTTAAAATGTGTACACCTGAATAAATTTTGTATGTTTATAATATTTAGTGTCAGCTTAACCCTTGTGGATTCATAGCAGCTTTTTGGGTTTAGTTTTCTCCCCCCCCCCCTTTTTTCCCTTTTCCCTCCACCCCCCCTTTTTTTGTTTGACCCAAGGTCACACCAGCAGCTGCATGTGGAGGAATCAAATCCGGTTTGCCCATATTAGACTCAGCGCTCCTGACCACTACACCAAACTGGCTCCTAGAAGAGCTGGTTTTTAGCCCCCCACCTTTTCTCTACTGTAAGGAGTCTCAGTGCAGCTCACAGTCGCCTTTCTCTCCCCACAACAGGCACCCTGTGAGGCAGGTGGGGCTGAGAGAGTTCTGAGAGAACCGTGACTGGCCTGAGGTCACCCATCAGGCTTCACATGGAGGAGGAGTGGGGAATCAAACCTGGTTCTCCAGGTAAGTGTCTGCCACTCTGAACCACTACACCACCCTGGGTAGCTTTCAAAAGACAAAATGCAGCATTGTTCAGAATCAGAAGACTGAGGAGTCTGCATTGTTGTAAGGCTAGAAAGCAATTTTCTTCCTTTGCAAAAGACACCCACCCCAAATATACATAGGCTGGTCGGGCATTTCAAATCTACTCCCCCCAGCCTCACCCCGGCAAACCCGCTTTGGAGCAGACACAAGTTTTAGAAGCCGTGAATATAGTGGTGGTTGCAGACAGCCTGCCTTGTCCAAAAGGAGAAAAAGGGGAAGTGTCACGAGCCAGTCCTAGCTCCTGGGTGCATGTCCCCAGAATCCTGTCCTCATCGAGTCCAAATTACAGTGCAAGCTTAGGACAAAGAACGTCTTATTGCAGACCATTATGCACTCCAGACGTGATCCTTGATCATTCAAAGCAAAAAACAAAAAATGCTACCGAAGCAGTAAAGTACAGAGGACTGGTACAACAAAGTATCCTCCAAAAAGTCTTCACCCTACATCTATGTAAAAAACAAACAAGCAAAAATCAGACCACCAACTTACAGATGTTGTAGACACTGCACATTCGTAAAGGATCCTGAATCCTTTATCTGCTGGCTGCAGCTGCAGGACATACACAAGTCTGTAAAAAAAAAAAGATTCCCCCCCCTCTTTTGATGCAAACTTTCTGTTGTAGTGGAGCAGTGCAATTTTATTCTATATGTAAAGCTGCCCCTTTGATTCTGCCATACGTATATATAGAAACAAGTAACTGCTGGTAGAAGAGAACTTTAAGGAAATGGAGACATGACAAACCAGCAAAGTATTAAGGGTTTTCTCCTCGTCTCCTGTGTGCCCTCCCCAATGTTTGCTTAGGATTTTCACTTTTCCTAGAGCCAAGGTAAAATGTTCTTACCACTTCTACAGTGGGTGGTAGGTGTAATTTGTCAGCAGTTAGAATTCACAAAGGAGAAAAACTCCAGTGTGTTATCAGCAAGCAGTCTGGTATAGTACATGCCCTTTCTCTATGTATTTTCTTTCCATCCTTAATTTCAGCTCTCCCTCTTCCGCCCTCCCTACTTGACACACGGATGCATACTGTAGGAGCAGAGGGGACTGTCTTTCTGCGCCTTGTTCTTTGACCTGCTGACCGCTAAGCAACCTTATCTCAGTCAAGGGTCTGTTCCATCCCAATCTCCCATGAAGTATGTGTAGAAGAAGAAGAGATTGGATTTATACCCTGCCCTTCACTCGGAGTCTCAGAGCAGCTTACAAACTCCTTTCCCTTCCCCTCCCCACAACAGACACCCTGGGAGGTAGGTGGTGCTGAGAGAGCTCTGACAGAAAGTGCTCTTTTTCTACAACAGCTCTTGACAGAACTACGGCTTGCCCAAGGTCATCGAGCCACGTGCAAGTGGAGGAGTGGGGAATCAAACCCGGTTCTCCCAGATTAGAGCCTGTGCCCTTAACCACTACACCAAACTGGTGTATGTTTTCATTTTCTCCCTAAAAGGAATGCAAGATGTACTCTGAAAGGAGGGTAGAAGTGAATTATGTTTAAGGACAGAATTGGTGAACTTTCTTTTGGAATTCTAGACCCTGAGCTTTTGTCTGTTTTATCCTATAAAAGAAGAGCTTTGAACCTTGTTCAGAATACCAGCTTGTTAGTGAGGCTTGTTGGCTCTGACTAGCTCGCATCAGAATGATCGTCCTAATAAAATTCCATGCTTTGCCAGCCTAAAGCTTTGAGTGCCTATTTTGTCACCCAGATAGCCTCAGAAGAGGGGGAACTTGCAAAGCTCCCTTAACACATATACCACATCAGCTTATAAACTCAAGGAAGAGGCAGTGGGCCAAAAGACTTACTTTCGATGAAAAGATCCCAGGTACCAAGGCAGAGGGAAGGTCTTTCTCGGCCCACCACACTGGAGAGCTGGTGGCAGCAGTTTGCACGTGGCATCAGAGCACAAAAACAAAGTGGCAGAACAGAGCCTTGCATCAGCAAACAAAGACCTACCTCTTGAAGGCTTCGTCTTCTGTCTTCTCAACCATCTCTGAAGTTCTCTTCTTTAAAAGAGAAAAAGAAATACAGATTCCCAAGTTTGAAACGCTACTCTTCAAGTCAGCTCAAAGGCTAGAGTTTTGTTGGGCCACTAGATTTGGGTACTGCTTCAAATCAGTGGGTTGTGGGTTTTATTTTTGTTTTGGGGGGGGGGGGAGGCATTTGACTCATAAGGCCGGGGTGGGGGGAGGCGGCATGGAAGGAGAGGTATTTCGAGTCTGCAAGCGGTGGTCTTCGGAAAGACCCCGTCCCCTACAAAGTGCCCTCTTTGCGCCTCAGCAGTCGAGTCGTTCAACAGGATAAAAAGCAATGATCATAATGCCCCCGTATAAATCGATGGTGTGGCCTCACTTGGAGTACTGTGTATCCTTCTGGTCACCACACCTCAAAAAGGATATTATAGCATTGGAAAAAGTGCAGAAGAGGGCAACTAGAATGATCAAAGGGTTGGAACACTTTCCCTGTGAAGAAAGGTTAAAGCGTTTGGGGCTCTTTAGCTTGGAGAAACGACGGCTGAGGGGTGACATGATCGAGGTTTATAAGATTATGCATGGGATAAAGCAGGTCGAGAAAGAAGTACTTTTCTCCCTTTCTCACAATACAAGAACTCGTGGGCACTCCATGAAATTGCTGAGCAGTCGGGTTAGAACAGACGAAAGGAAGTCCTTCTTCACCCAAAGAGTGATGAACACATGGAATTCACTGCCAAGGGAGGTGGTGGCGGCTACAAGCATGGACGGCTTCAAGAGGGAATTGGATAAACCTATGGAGCAGAGGTCCATCAGGGGGTATTAGCCACAAGGTATACATAGGAACTCTCAGTATGGGGTACGTGATGCCCTGTATTCTTGGTGCTTGGGGGGGGGGCAACAGGGGGAGGGGCTTCTAGTGTCCTGGCCACGCTGCTGGACCTCCTGATGCCACCTGGTGTTTTTGGCCACTATGTGACAGAGTGTTGGACTGTATGGGCCATTGGCCTGATCCAACATTGGCTTCTCTTATGTTCTTATGTTCAAGAGGTCCTACTTCAAGTCAGAACGTGAAGCAGTATCTACAAGGGACTCCCCCCCCCCCCTTTGGCAGTACCTACAACAACATTTGTCGATTTGGGGCTGTGGCCTAGCAGCACAGCCCCTGCTCTAAATGCAGAAAGTCCCAGACTCAATCCCTGGCTCTTCCAGTTATTGGCTCTTCCAGTTACAGGCTCTCAGGGGCCAGAGGAAGAAGGCCTTTTCTGCCTGAGACCCTGGGTAGTAACCAATCAGAGCAGAGAATATTGAGCTACATGGACCAATAGTCTGAGCCGATATAAGGCAGCCTCCTATGTTCTAACAGAATTGGCTTGAGGAAACGCACTTACGTCTGTGGGTGCTTCGTCTGAACACAGCCATTTTTCCAGCAGTGTGTCCCAAATCTTCTTCATATCCAGATTGTTAATTTTGGCTATTTCTTTTGCAGCGGCATGAATATCTGTGCAGAAGCAGAGACAGTGCACACAGGGAGCACCACATCCTTTCTCCCGCCTCCACACACCCCCTTTGAGATTGTGTGCATGTCAAGTGCCATCAAATCACTTCCAAATTATGGTGACCTGATGAATTAATCGCCTCTAAAACGTCCTCCATTAATAGCCTCGCTCAGGTCTTGCAAACCGAGGGCCTTTGTGGCTTCCTTGATTGAGTCCCTCCATCTCATGTTGGACCTTCCTCTTTTCCTGTTGCCTTCAACCGTTCCTAGGATGATGGTCTTTTCCAGTGACTCTGACCAAAGCACAAGAGCCTCATTTGAAATTGCCCTGAGTGCCTGAGCATTTCTGCAGAGTGATCATTTGGGGATCTGTTATATGGGTTTTCTCACATGAAGAAAATCAGAGACTAAGGCAGACCAGTGTGGGATAGGAGGTGGAGGAGGAGGAGATTGGATTTATACCCTGCCCTTCACTCAAAGTCTCAGAGCGGCTTACAAATGCCTTTCACTTCCCCTCCCCACAACAGACACCCTGTGAGGTAGGCGGGGCTGAGGCGGGGCTGAGGCGGGGCTGAGAGAGCTCTGACAGAAACGGCTCTTTTCAAGGACAGCTCTGACAGAACTATGGCTTGCCCAAGGTCATCCACCAGCTGTGAGTGGAGGAGTGCGGAATCAAACTCGGTTCTCCCAGATTAGAGTCCGCGCACTTAACCACGACACCAAACTGGATATGCAGCATGCAGAAGTGATTTCCCACCACATGCACATTCGGTTTTGTTTTGGGAAAGACACATACCATGACGCTTCCCGGTGACTGCTACACTGCCAAACAAGAACCGCAGGTAGAAGCTATGTGAATGTGTTTTTTGAAGCTTCCTATGCTGGTCACACTATGTGAAGACGAGTGTTACTGGGAAAGACCATCATGCTAGGAGAAGCTGAAAGCAGCAGGAGAAGAGGAAGACCCAACATGAAGTGGACTGACTCAAGAAAGGAAGACACAGACTTCAGTCTGCAAGAACCAAGCAAGGATGAAGAAGAAGAGTTGGGTTTTATACCCTGATTTTCTCTACCCGAAGAAGCCTCAAAGTGGCTTACAATCGCCTTCCCTGCCTCTCCCCACAACAGGCACCTGGTGAGGTAGGTGGGGCTGAGAGAGTTCTAAGAGAGCTGTGACTGACCCAAGGTCACCCGGCAGGCTTCGTCTGGAGGAGCGGGGAATCAAACCCGGTTCTCCAGATTAGTGTCCGCCGCTCTTAACTGCTACACCACCCTGGGTCTCCTCCGTACTGGATGTTAACCACTACACCACACTGGATGTTAATGACAGAACATTTTGGAGGTCATTAATTCATAAGGTTGCCGTTAAGTCAGAAGCCACTTGACGGCACTTAACATACACATGCTGAAGGAATCCCTTCTCTACATTGATTTGTCAGCTGTGAAACCCCTGAACATTGCAGAGGGTATTGTTTCAAGCTGCACACCAAATGTATTCCCCACGTACAATGAGAGCCTTTTCAACAATATGGCCACCTCGAAATTTATTGGTTGAACATAATTCCAAGTTGTTATGAGCAGAATGATATTTATTTACTGACCTATATTCTTACTTCGGCAAGAATAAAGGTAAAGGTTCCCTTGCTCGAAAGCCAGTCGAGTCCGACTCTAGGGTTGCGGTGCTCATCTCCGTTTCAAAGCCGAAGAGCCAGCGCTGTCCGAAGACGTTTCCGTGGTCATGTGGCCAGCATGACTAAACACCAAGGCGCACAGAACGCTGTTACCTTCCCACCGAAGTGGTACCTATTTATCTACTTGCAATTTCTTGCTTTCGAACTGCTAGGTTGGCAGGAGCTGGAACTAGAGACGGGAGCTCACTCCGTCATGCGGCAACTTGGGTCTCGAACTGCTGAACTACTGACCTTCCACAACCTGCAGTTCAGCGTCTTAACCACTTGAGCCACCGCAGCTCCTTCAGCAAGAATATTAATAGCTAAATATTGGAAATCAGAAATAATACCAACAAGAGATGAAATAGCTAAGAAATTGTTGGAAGCAGAAATGGACAAACTTAATATCCTACTTCAAGGAAAAGAGAAGACATTTTTAAAAAGATGGTCTAGAGTGTATAAATGGATTGAAGAAAAATGTATATAAAGGACTCTAAAAATGATAGTCACATGTTAATATGTAGGTAATCAAAATAGGGCAAAAATGATAAATAAAAATACGGAAAACAACAACAACAACAGTGTGGCCACTTCTTTCCTGTACCTGTACATCGCATGATAAGACAGGCAGCTTCCCTGCTTTCTCTCCAGGACACTTCTCCATCATTTGCAATGCCTTCCATCAAGGGACCCTGAGAAGCTTTTAAGGAACTGTAGAGTTCCTAGGTTTGAAAGTGGCTGTTGTACACAGGCAGTGCTGGCTCCAGGACTTTGGAAACCCTAGAACAGGGCCCCTTCAAGGGGACCACTTAACCTGGGAAAGGCAGGGCGTGCAAAACAGTTTGGTCACGTTGCCTCTGACTTTTTGGGGGCGTACCGTGCGAAAGGATGCTCGGCCAGCGAGACTGCAGCTGGAGCCAGGACCCAAACAAGTGTGGGGAAATGGGCTAACCTGGGTAATCGTTGCCAGCCGGATTCTGAAACCTCTCAGTGATGGTGCTGTGCTGGTAGAGCAGCACCACCAGTCTGGCAGGCTTGCCAGTCAGCTGCCAGTGCTCCTCGGAGTTCAGCTTGTGGGCCATGAGCACAGCTTCCGTGGCCCGTTTCCGGTATTCCACCTGTATCTTTTGCAGAAATAGCCGAGCCTTTTCTCGAGATTCCTCCTTTGTCAGAAGACAAAACGCTTATTTAAGAGCAGAATCTGGTGGCTCCAGAAATGCAAACCCCTCCCCCCCCAATAGCCCCTTTTCCAGCCTCCCAAACACAATCCAGACAGTCCCATTGTCCGCTGTCTATTTACGTACAACTAAACTCCATTCTCGGAGTATTATGGCAAGACTAATACCTGAAAGCAAGCAAGCACTGTACAAATAACGCAGACCACAAGTGCTCAAAAAGTCATGCAAAAAGAGTAAATTTATATGACAAGAATAACAGAGGACCACATGTATCAGTAAAACCAAATTACATCATATAATGTACAGGTCCATGAATAGTGCAAGTTCATAAATGGTACACAGACAGGGACGAAGACTCCGGATTGTGATCTTCGTTTCGATAGCTCTTCTTGAAGAAGTTCACACTACTTCATAAAGGTCTCGTAATGTACAGGAGGAAAAATCCTTAGCACAGCACTCACAGTGTATAAAAGCCTTCAGACCAGTATTACAGGAAAAAACTCAATCCTATTATGATCATTCAAAGCCGGGCACCCAATCAACAGAACAAACTCTCCAATAGTCGGTGAGCACTTGTGGTCTGCGTTATTTGTACAGTGCTCGCTTGCTTTCTGTATATTGTATGCTGTGATATCGCATCTGTTTATGGTAAAGACTGATACCTGCACATCTTTATGAGCCAGCCATTTTTCAGCCAAAGAGATGCAGAATTTCAGTATCTCAACTTTGATAGGGCCTGGAGAAGGAAAGGGGAAAAAAATCTAGCAAATCTTGCATGTTTCTTGCCCCTCCCCTTGTTTTTTCGCTTGGATTTCAAAGCTGCTTATGCACCCTCTGTTGCGAGCCCTGGCCAGGAGCTCTTTGGTTCGCAGGAATTCCGAGGAATCGATACGCTAGATCCAGGTTCGCTTACAAGGAGCATCTTCAATAAAGCATCAGACTTACAGTCAAATGCAGGCTAAGCTTCCATCAGCTGGGTCCCGGCGGTGCACACACACACAGCAAAACTTAGCCAAACCCCAGGACCTTGAGCACAACTAAAACCACCCATCTTATACTTGAAAAGTAATCAATCAAGCTATCCCAAAACACTCTGATGGGGGGAAGAAACAACCCATGCCTTGAAGATGAGCAGTTGCTAATGAGTATGAGATTCTCTTGGGAGTGCGCAATCAGCGTTTTCCCACAAAAATCAGAGCAGAGAAGACCCAGCACATAGCAAAGATGGAGTCACTCCAGCCCAAAACACCCTCAAAGCCATGGCAGAGCCAGGTTCTGGAGTCGGAGAGGCAACAAGGGCCCGGGAGTGACATCTGGAGAGCTCAGGCTGTATCTCCTTGCAACTCCGTATACTGTGTCTTCAGTCCAGGCCCAAAAGGGCATATCTTTGATTACGATGCCCCAAGTGATGGGAAGGAAGGAGCATGTGAAATGAAAGATCCCCAGGTTCACTGCTGGTGGCAAGGGAAAACCGCACAGCCTGACAACCAACCGTCTCTTCAGCATTAGTCGGAATGAGATGACAACAGCCACATGTGTCTAATTGATTAGAATTGGGGCGCAAGTGGGAGGCCACTCCAGAAGAATGCTCTACCATGGGAAGAATGGAAGCACCGCCCCCCCCCCCGCGCCCAGCTTTTAGCAGCACTGAGATGTTTTATTGAGAACCTTTCTGGAGCAAAACAAGGAACAGAAATCAAATCTGTATGAGTCTCAAGTACTGATATATCAAGTGGAGAGAAACGTACACGTGCAAATACACACACATTCCGTAGGGGAAATGAATAGTAGCCAAGGTTTCCCGCATAGTGTATTCTCAGTGGGAAACGTGTTTAACTTTTTGTGTGTATATATAAAAAATGAGAGAACACAAATCCCCAAGGAGTTTAAAGGTATTGAAACCCAGATACTTAAACGATGACCTGCTTATCAGTTAAGAACTATTTCAGAGGTGATGCTCCGCATTCCCCCCCCCCCCCCCCAAAAAACAGACCCTCCGATTTTCTTTTTTTATCTGGCTAACGTTAGCCAACAAATGAAAGCCTTTTTGTTCATCTGGCCTTTGGGACCAGTTGGGTGTTACGTTGAGAGAGTGCTTGGTTGTTTAATTTCTTCTGCTAGATACTGGCTTGTAATTTCCCCTCACTGTTAGGTGTGGCCTATTTAGGGTCACGTTTAAAGCTAGCTATTTAATTACCGCTGATTACTTTAATCGTGGATTGTTTTGAACAGAGACAGCCTTGGGAACCGGCAACTGAGGTATAACCAATTTTTTTAAATAAACTAAAACACAAGAAAAAGTGTCAAAAAAGCCTTGTGAAGCAGGTCTTCCAGGAGAGATGGTGCAGAAACTAGCCTCGGGTTGATATGTACACGTAAAGGCAAAGTAATAGACACCCATCAAGACATTCGCACTGCCTTTGCAGGGGAGCCATGTGTCAGCCATAAAATGCCCAGTCGGCCCTCTCAGAAGCTCCAGACATCATGTTGCTACCACAATGGTCATCAATATGCTGAATTTCTTTGGACAAAGTTAAACAAAAAACCCTTTACAAAAAAAAGAGGAAAAAAGGGGTGAATTCCCCTCCCTATACCTGATTGGAGGTCTCTTGCTATTGTGTGAGCCAGTGCCGCAGACCTTTCCAGGTTGGTTATACAGAGCAAGTAAGACTGAATGGCACTGACGATTGCAGTGGTTTCCTTGTCGGCCACCAGCCGAGATCCTCTTCTCATCTGTTCCAATATTTTAGGCTTCAGCCTTTCTTGGAACGCACGGTTAGCTGCACACATGTAGAGGGTGTCCAGCGGGACCTTGGAAAAGCACAAAAAAGCTGGAGTGTGTCTGAAATTGTCACTCCCTGTTAAAGTCACTACAGCAAAGCAACATTAAGGAGTCTCTTCTACATACATAAGGGGCCTGTTACAAATATCCCCCTCCCGTTCTGATGCAGGCAAGGAACAGAACACGAGATGGGGTAGCGCAGATTAAAGGCTGAGCTATGCATGGAGAAGGGATGACCTGATTATCAACGACTGAGGCCTAGAGAGGCAGGGAGCAGTTTCGGCCCTCCCCACCCCAATGCTGTCACCGTCAGTGTGTTTCTTTATTTGCTCTCACAGAAACAAATGCCTGCCATCCACTTCTTTTTTGGGGGGGTTAGGGTTGCCAGGTCCCCCGGGTGGGCGGGGAGAACCCCGCTCGATGGGTCTGTTACCTGCCAGCCTGGATCGGGCCGTCAGGTGGAACCCCATCCCCAAAGTGCCGGGATCGCGGAGATGTGCCCGGCGTGATGACGTCCCCCGGAGGTGACGTCATTGCATCGGGCACGTTGCGGGGGGGACGCTCTATCATTCGAGGGTGTCAGCTTTCTCTTTGGGAATAATGAACCGTTATGTTCGGGCGGGATTCTACCTTGGTGTGATTGGCTCCGGGCCATTAGAATGTCAGGGGGGCTTGGTATAACTGCTACTTTTGCACGCTTTTGAGGTTAGGTCTAACAAAGACCGTTAAGAGCCTGGATACCTTCGATGTCTCAATAAACTTCTATTCTCTGAATGACTGTTGTTGGGAACTGATTGCTCCGGGGTTCTAATATTCCAAGGGAACATTAAGGTTCATGAAGCATTGCCCTTGCTGGATCAGACCACCGTCCATCTAAGCATACACAATGACTGCTAGAGCAACATGCTCCTGGAAGCTCGCAAGCAGCATATAAAGGTGATAGCCCATCCCTTTTGGCAGGTGCTCAGAGATATAGTGCCACTGTACATGGAGGATCTTCTGAGCTATCACGAATCACTGTTAACAGCCACCGCAAAATCTGCTTGATTTCAGTTCTGTAGCCATTTAAATTCGTACCCATCAACCCATGTTGTGACAGCCGTTTGTACAAACTGAAAAAAACCAACCCATCAAGCCTAGCCCAGAGCAGGTTTTTTTTTACCTTCACGATTTTGGAGATCAAGAAAACCTTTGGGAATGATTCCTCATTCAGTTCTGGAGCTGTAAAAAGAGGAGCCAGGAATATATTGCCTACGTACCTTGTTCAATCAAATTCCATCTCTCTCAAAGAATATGAAAAACAGCTGCATGTTTACTATTAGCAAAAACTTACTAATTATTTTCCAGAAACACTGTGAAGTTTTGAAGAAGATCAAGTGGAAGGGCAGCCTGGCTTGAGCAGCTGGCGATAAAGGAATAGCCCGTTTGAACGCATACTGATGTTCCGGGTCTCCAGGAGTGGAAGTCCTTCTGTAGGATTTTAAGTGTTCGATCAGCATCAGGGCCTACGGGAACAGACAAAGAGGGACTGTGACTCAGCTGCAGAGCACCTGCTCAGTGTGTAGAAGGTCCCAGGTTCGATCCCGGGCATCTCCAGTTGAAAGGATCAGGGAACCAGAGACATGAAAGACCTCCGCCTGAGACTCTGGAGAGCCGCTGCCAGTCTGAGCAGACAATACTGACCTTGATGGACAGAGGGGTCTGACTCTGTATAAGATAGCATCACATGATCATGTGAATGCTGGTCTCCCCCGCTCATAAGAACGTAAGAGAAGCCAAGGTTGGGTCAGGCCGATGGCCCATCCAGTCCAACACTCTGTGTCACACAGGGGCCAAAAATACCAGGTGCCATCAGGAGGTCCAGCAGGGGGGCCAGGACACTAGAATTCATTCCCACTGTTGCCCCCCCCCAAGCACCAAGAATACAGATCATCACTTGCCCCCAGACTGAGAGTTCCTATCTGTACTTTGTGGCTAATAGCCACTGATGGACCTCTGCTCCATATGTTTATCTAATTCCCTCTTGAAGCCGTCCATGCTTGTAGCCACCAACACCTCCTATGGCATGTGTTAATCACTCTTTGTGTTAACACTCCATGCGTTAATCACCCCGAGAGTTGTCCTTTCAAGGGGGGGGGG